CCCCAAAACCCCAAAACCCCAAAACCCCAAAACCCCTTAATTTTATTATATAATTGAGCATGAAAGTATACAACAAAATTTGTGTTAGAGAGGTAAGCTTTAATAATGACTTGATTGAGATGCCTAATTCTACTTCTTATGAATCTATTTCGATTTTAGGATTCAGCTAAACCTTTGGACTTCTCATGAAGTTTGATTATTACATTTTTATTGTGAATAATTCTATGATCTAGGAGAAATACAATATCACTGGAAAGAAACGTAGGCGCTTTGGAAGTAATTTGAAGTACCAAGATGCAAGTAAACCAATATTTGAGTACGTTAGTATGTTAAAATTACAGAAAAGATAAATATTTGATCTCTTTCACTCCAAAAAATGAAATTAGGAAAAACCTACTGAATGGAAAGTGAGATCTAAGCTGATATTTCTAGAGAAAAGTTAAGTTTGCTATTGGATGAAGACAAAATGAACAAGTCAACCTTCTCTCAATTCTCCAACTTCAGAGAGAAAAAGCCTAACCAATTTGCCAGATCATCACCTAGAGACTCTTACAACCTTAGCACAAAAGTGAGCTTAAAGAATTCAGGAACAAATGCTCCGGATGATTCAGAATCCCTCAAAACTAAGGGATCAGAGAAGTTTTACAAGAACTTTACACTAAATCGTGGCTCATTATCCTGCCGACCAGCTTGTCAAAGATCGATCTCGACTTGTAGTAAAGACACCGAGCCAGTAAAAGGTAAGCCGATAAATTATGTAGAATAAAAATATTAATACATTTTCTAGTGAATCTTTTTCCGGAGAAAGGAGTTAAGCCAAAATTCCAGGTTTCTAAATCAAAGATTAAAGAAATAGTCGATAAAATCCTCTCTGGAGAATCTCCTAATTTTGAAGAAGGCTGCTACGAAATAAGTAAGAGATGATTATTATCAGCTTAGAGAAATCAGAAAAGGGCTCTAGATACCAGAATAGTAAGATAAAGCAATGGAGAAGGTACTAATAGTTGCTTTATGAATAGATTCGTCCAAGACTCAGATATTCCACTTAATTATTTATTTAATGATTCTATGAAGCAATCAATTGGGCTTCAGAAGACTAAGATAGAGGACGATACGCTGAATAGGTATGACCCCCACGGAGTGAGGATGAAAATTTTGCCTGTAATTTTCACGGAGAATAAAAATTTTAGGTAAGCATAATTCTATATTTTAATATAGCAGCATAAAAGACGTCAAAGATCTGATTGAATACGAAGTCATGGAGACAGGGCAATTGGCTGAAGAGGTGATATTCAAGAGAAAGAGGTTTTCTTTAGCTCCTCCAAAAAGAACTTCTCCTTTAGGTAATTTTTAAACCAATTTTTATTGCTCAGGACTTTGAACTTAATGCTTAATCTACCATTTTTATCATAGAAAAATTATTTCGAAATATTTTTTTAATTTCAAGAAATTTTAGTGATAAAATTTTGTCTAGGAAACAATGATAGAAGTGGAAGCCCAAGAAAAATTCCAAGGATGAAGCAATCTTTTAGAGGAATCAAGACAGAGAAGCATACCCAGTCTGGTCTTAACAATATTATAAACTCCTTTGGAACAATGGGTAATTTCATTACTAGGTTTAGAAAGAGGAAACTTACAAGCTGATACTAGTGACTTAGAGTTCAATGTCGATATTAAGGATTTGAAGCAAAGAAGATACCTCAAATTTCCCAAAGAGAATGTCCATGTCAACAGATATGTAAGGATTATTGATTATAGATATAGGTTAAACTAGTTAAAACGGTAGCTCTTTGCCAATCTGATAATTTTAGATCACTTCTAAATAAAGAAGAGCTAACAGAAGAAGATGTTATCAAATATTCTCAACCAATAGTGATCAAGCCTAACTTAAAATACATTACAGAACTATATACCACCAAGGAAAAGTTCAAACCAAAGGAAAAATTCACTCCCTTCCACAAAAAACTACTCGTAAGTCCCCTCTAAACCCCAGCACATCAGCCCCAAGCACCAGACCAGCCCCAAAACTTACCAACCCACCTCCCAAACCCTTCCTCCCAACCCCTCAGTACCCTCCTTCCTCACCCCCTAGACCCAAAACACCCATCCCAAAAAGTCAACTCTCCCCATTTGTTCCTTAAAATCTCCCCTCCTGGCCGCCTGTAAGAAAACCTCCTAGTACAAATCACCATAATTCCTTCTGAAAGTTATAATCAATTAGGTATCTAAAATACGGGGTTTTGGGGTTTTGGGGTTTTGGGGTTTTGGGG